CACACTGATTCCTCTATGGTTACTGCATTCCGAACGCCAGTCTCCTTTGAAGATGGGAACAATAACGGAGCGGCTCCAGTTGGTTGGGACAGTCTCCTACTCCCACAGTTTCACTAGTAATTCATATAAAGCATCAACAAGAGTACAGCCTCCGAATTTGAAGAGGGTTGGAGAAAGATCATCTGGTCCCGCGGCTTTGTTCAACTTCAACAGTCCGATCTCACTTTCGACTTCTGAGCGAGGGTGGATCCAAAGGGACAGCCTACGGAGCAGGGCGATCACTGGCCGGCGAAGAATCGAACAATTCTAGTCGATTAAATTGCTTTTCAAAATGCTCAGCCCAACGCTCCAAACGTTTCGACAAATTGTGGATAGGCTGTCACGTATAGTTTCACTAACACCGGGTCTCCTGTTGCAAGTTTCCCGTATCAGACGGAATAACTTACGATGGTTGCCGAGGGCATCGGCCACTTCCATCTCTGACGCACGAACAGACCACCAAAATTCGCGGTCTCTCTTCAGGATAGCGCGGAGTTTTGCCCGGAGCTCTTTGCGAGTTTCACTGTGGTTGCTTCCAGCCGGGATATGCCGGCGAGCGTCGTAAATTCCAGAGACCGCAAAGAGACCCAATATCCATGTTGGCTATTAGACATACCACATGAGGATTTGCCTGCTGCTAGTAAGGTCTGGCGAACATGTGACCTGTGACCATCAATTGTCTCCAGGGAGCGATTACTCAACTCGAATGTCAGCGTACTTTGATACGCATTCAGAACAGCTGGTTTTGTCAGTTGGCTGGTGTCAATGCGCTCACATCGTCGTCGTGGGCGTCCGCCAAAACGCATCCGCATGTCAGCACATACAAGTGCATGATCGGTGTCCCCACATGTGCTCCAAATCGAGCGACAATTCTGGATGCAGCCTCTCCAGCGGTAGCTGATAGCAATGTGATCGATCTGCGTCCAAGACTGGTTCGAGGCTGGTGGGCGCCAAGTTACCCTCCGGCGGGTGCTGTGTCGGAAATTAGTGCTCGCAAGAAATAAGCGAGCATCCTCACACAAATGAAGTAACCGCTCACCGTTATCATGACCGGAGCCTACACCGTGCTGACCGCCCAGATGCATTTCATCAGTGGACAGCTTTCCAACTTGTGCGTGAGTGAAGAAGCTTTAAAAGGACTGTGGCTCTCACGCCTACCTGATCCTCTTCCTGTAATGCTCGTAGCGTACCCAGATAGATCACTCAAAGAGCTGGCCATAGCCGCAGACCCAGCATTTGAGAGAATCCCTCAGCACACGAAGGCATCCAGTAACATTTTCGCCACATTAGCTGATAAAGACTTGAGTAAGAAAGCGTCCGTGCAAGCAGACCCCAGAGACGAAGAGATAGTCATGCTTCGCCGTGAATCAGCAACAGTACACAAGCACACGAGAAGCCCATTAGGCAAGTTTCCGATGCCAGACGCACGTTTTCATCAAGTGCACGTCGACCTCTCTGCCGCCTTCGAAAGGCTCTGTGTATCTACTGACCTATATCGATCGATTTACTAGATGGCCTGAGGCCGTCCCCATCCCAAATAGTTCTTCGAAAACGGTAGCGAAAGCATTACTGGAGCGCTGGGCAGCTCAATACCGCTGTCCCGTCATCGTAACTACCGGTCGAGGGTCACATTTCTCGTCGACATTTGCCACGCTGCTTAAGGATTTAGGCTGTCGCCACGTTCAGATGACGGCGTATCATCCGGTTGCTAACGTAATGGTGGAGCGTTTTCACCGCCAGTTGAAGGCAGAGCTACGAGCGCACGCAGATTCTTCATGATCTGAAACACGTCTTCTCGTCCTCCTAGGCTTAAGAAACACGATTAAACCCGATTTCGACGCAACACCAGTGCAGCTAGTCTACGGTTGCACGCGGCGGTTGCCCCGACAGCTGGTAGCACCAGCCCGTCTACTTCCTCTTTTGACCACGGAAGTTACACCGATCGACTGTATCACCAGATGCGTGAGCTACGTCCACCCGCTCCTCGATCGCAGAAGACACCAGTGTAGATGCCCGAGAAGCTGTCTACCTGCTGGCAAGCCCTTCTTCTCTTCAGTCACCGTACATAGAACCCTTCAAAGTGCTACACCGCGCGAATAAAACGAACACTATTGACCGCGGTGGCTGGGGCGAAGTCGTCGCCATTGAGCGTCTAAAACCCGCCTTTATGAAAGAAACCACCTCGCCTACTTCGTCTAGTAGTGCTTCGTGCGAAGTCACAGCTCACCGCACCAGCTTACAGAATCCTAGTGCAGTTCAACCAGACCACGATTTCGGTCTATAAGCTCCAGCCGTCCCGACCTCTCCCGAATCTAACCCCCCGCCTCCCACGACTAATCGCCATAGTCTGGAGGTGCGTAAGCCTGTTCGTTTCGCTATGTACAGTGCAAATACGTTTAGCTTTGTAGATATTGTATATATTTGCCTCATATTTGGTCGAGTAACGTTTCGACAACAAACACAAAAATCAAAAACCGAAATACCTTTTTGCTAAAAAATAAGCAAAAACAAATATTTAAACACGCAGATCATTCGTGAGTTCTTTCTGGCGTTTCCTGCACGTGTTTTTCTATTCTCTCGTCTCTACAAGCCCCAACCCTTCCCTTTGACCGACTAGCTTGCACGAGCAATGTTTTCGAGGACCCTGACGCGAACGCTGGTCGTTTATCCGCGGGACGGGTGACGCCTCTTCGCAGGACAATGATCGCTTCCTCGCGCGACGTGGGTCGCTTCTTCCTGGGACCACGGTCGTTTCTTCGTGGGACGATTGTCGTTTCCCCTTGGAACGAGGGTCGTTTTGGCTCGGGCGGAATGCGACGGGGGGAGAGATCACTCCCAAACGCACCGTTTGACAGCAGCGGATGTTGAGGTCCTGTCCGCCTTTTTCTGGGCTAGCCAGTTTGTAGTCCGACAAGCCTGCTCCAACGGCTCGCCGAAATGCACCCTGCCATGCAATCAATAAATAATAAATACCAAACGGCACAGCAAATACTAATTGTTGGCTATATTTACTTCCGAACACGAACAGATACTCCTTTGTATACGTATACCTTTTACGAACTTCGATCCACGGCCATTTTTGATTTCGAAGGCTCCCTCGTTCGGCCTTCTGAAAGGGGAGCTCTGTAGCAACTCCAAAGTTTTTTTTATTTTAAGTACACTGTTACTCAAATCGTACAATATTGGTTTTTGTTGTAATGCCGACCCTACGGCCATTTTGCCCGCATCCGGCTTATCACTTACGTCCACGGTGAGTTTCGAAGTACACTCTCGTTGCTTCATCCGTTTTTCGTTCGACTGTGGCCTTTCTCGAATACAATGCATTGTGTCCGTTTTCCACACAAGAGCAAGAACACTCACGGACTAGTATACACTAGTCCTGCACTATAAAAGCCGAGGACACTTTCGCCCGTCAGCAAACTGCTCTATCTTCCAGAGTGGTAAATGACTTGAATAGTCTGCAGAAACACGTTAATGGTTCGCAGAGGGAAGTTTCAGGCGATTGCTAGACAACTAGCACACATTCAGATTCAGATGGACTGGAACGAAAGGCAAATCTCTTGAGTGTTTCTTCTTGAGTAAATCGTTGAGCCAGGAAATGATAAGGTGCTAGTTCTTGATAGATCTAAAATGAAACACCCGAAACAAACCCTGATCAACCAATTACTGCCCACGTTTCCAGCACTAGAAGTCCGCGCTATGTTACGTGAAGTAAGAAAGAAGTAGAAAGTAAATGGAAGATAAGGGGGAATGAAAGTCATTTACATGAAGAACAACACCAACGAGTGGGGAGAATGACAGAAGAACTAAAAGTTTGAAGATGGATATGGTCAGGAGAAGGGAAAGGTTTCGTGTTGCAACCCAAGAGCGTCTAACTGACGCTCAAAACCCTTTACCGTAGGTTCACTGACTATACCTTCTGGAAGAGAGTTCCAGCGCTCGATAACTCTACGCGATAACCGAGTTTCCGCCCTGATCCGGTCAGAACGCGGCTTGTGTAGCTTCATGGGATGACCGCGAAGACAAGGCAACCTAGCCGGGTTAAATAGCCAGCTCAAGTCCGGTCCAACCTTCCCTGTTAAAATGCGGTAAGTAAGGATTAGGTCTCCTCGAAGCCGTCGGTAGTGCATTGAATACATACCCAAGCTAAGTAGACGCTGGGGGTACGATTGCCCCCGTAACCCTTCGACCAATTTGGTACCTACTCTCAAAACCCTCTCAAGCTCCATTTTATCCCGAACAAGGCAGGGTGTTCAAGCCTGGACGCAGTATTCCAGATGGGGCCGGACGAAAGCTGAGAACAGCTTCACAAATATGTCGGCAGTTAAGACCCCGAAAGGACGGCGTATTAACCACAACATTCTGAAAGCCCTACTAGCGGCCTTCTTCCAGTTGTCACCAGAATGCAAAGACGAGGAATGAACGACACCTAGGTCTACCTGGTTGGAGACAAGGGGGAGTTCGACCCCACCGAGTAGGTAGCTCGAAGGCGGGAAAGTTGCTCCTATACGAAGGACGGAACACAGTCTGATTTATGGGCAGTAGTCACAAAGTAGGCCAGTCCCAGAGTCTGTCCAGTGCACGCTGTATGGCCTAAGAACCCCCAGGAACATTTACAACATTCCATAGCTTAAGGTCATCAGCAAACAATAGGGATGATACTCCAAGCTCTCCAGGTAGGGTCCTGCTGCTTATTTTAACGATGACGATATCCGAAGGTGTGACGCCTCTGGAAAGCAAGCAACCACCTTTAAATCTTTCGGAACCGATGGAGCTGACAAAGGCTCTACTCTCAATATCCCAATGATAAATGGCTCTAATTAGAACCACGAATCGGAGCGCGTCGACATTGCAACGATACTAAAGATGCTAATAATGTAAGAGCAGAGATTTTCAATCTACTTCGCGTAGTAAAAGTGATACAGAAAAAGCACGGATAACGAGTAACAAAGAGGACCTACGTTGGCGCCGCCGTCAGCAATCGGTTGGGAAACAATGCAGTTTGGTGATGCCTAAGACTGCGATTAGCAAACTTCAAGTTCAAGTTCAGGTCAGGTCAGGTCAGATGGACGATAGAGGCTTCCGCCTAACGAGCGTCCAGTTCTTGTGCCGGTAAGTGAAGCGACCCCCGGCACTTCGACGTTGGATTGTCTCTTCTTGCTTCTGCAATGGAATGAAGCAAGAACAAGAGCAATCTCTGCACTTTCATATGCCAGCATCAAAATACACTACATATTAAAGTACAACTACAATATCTCAAGCGGGACTGGAACGATAAGATGATCCCGTGAGGGTTCCTTCTTCTGCGGGTCGTTGAATCAGGAGTTGGCGAACTTTGAAATACTGATGGACCTAAAACAAAGACCGCATCACACACTGTCCAAGTTGAAGTTCAAGTTCAATTTGGACAGGAACGGTAGGAGAATTCCCATGTGTGTTCCTTCTTCAATGCGTCGTTGAACCAGGATGGAGTTAGCGGGAGCGGTTTGGAGCCGAGAGGAGCCACGTATCCTGCCTTAGCAGTCCCTGCTGGGTCGGTTACGTGAAGTAAGAAAAAGAAAAAAGTAAACTCAGAAGGCCAAAGGGAAAGTGGGAAGAGCTAAGCAAGTAGAATGCCAAGATATTTAAGCCATAAAAAGGAACTGTAAATTGATGGTGAGTCAGTCAGGAAAATGAAAGGTTTGCTGTTGCCAAGCAAGAGCATCGAGTTGGAGTGCAAAACCCTTAACCGTAGGTTCCCTAACCACATGATCTGGAAGGGAATTCCAGGGATCTATAACTCGGCGCGACAGACGAGTTTCCGTCCTAATCCCATCAGACCGTGGTTTATGCAGTTTCAGTGGGTGACCGCGGAGACTAGTTAACGTAGCGGGACTAAATAGCCCTGACAAGTCCATGCCAATCTTACCCTTCAAAATACGATAAGTGAGAATCAGGTCCCCTCTTATCCTTCGGTAGTGCATGGAGTACATACCCAAACTGAGCAAGCTTTCAGGATACGTCTGTCCTCGTAGACCCTGCACTAACCGAGTGCCCACTCGTAACACCCTCTCCAAGTCCATTTTGTCTCGGTTAAGACATGGTGGACAAGCCTGAACACAATATTTCAGGTGGGGTCGGACGAATGCCGCAAATAGTTTCACAAACAACTTGGCCGTTAAGACTCCGAAAGAGCGGCAGATAAACCACATCATACGAAACCCTCGACAAGCAGCCTTCTTCCAGTTGTCTCCAGAATGAAGTGCTGATGCGTGTACGACTCCTAAATCAACCTGCTGAGTGACAACAGGGAGTTCACCACCGCCGACAACATATCGGGTGGGAGGATTAGCAGCTCCGATTCGGAGAACAGAGCACTTCGCCCTATTTATGGGCATCAACCATAAGATAGACCATTCCCAGAGCCTATCCAAGACACGCTAAATTGCCTCAGGACCCCCCGGGATATCTACAATATTCCAGACCTTAAGGTCGTCAGCAAACATTAGTGATGACACCCCTAGCTCTCCCGGCAAGTCGTCTACATAGATCGCGAACAACAATGGCCCCAATACCGAGCCCTGCGGAACGCCACTAAGGACAGCTTGCCTGAGCGGAAGGCTACGCCCCACCCGTACGCACTGTTCCCTCCCCTCAAGGAAGGCAGACACCCATTGAAGGGCGCGACCAGATATCCCGTAAGATCTCAACTTTAGTGAGAGCCGAAGATGTGGAACAGTGTCAAAAGCTTTCGAAAAATCTACGAATAGCACGTCTACAGCGTGGCCACTGTCTACCGCTTCGGCCCAGCTTTCACGAGCTACAAGTAAATTAGTCTGACATGAAAATCCTTTGCGGAATCCATATTGCGCTGAGAAGGTTGAATTGATTCAGGTGGTTCTCCACTGAATCCCTTATCAGCTTCTCGAACAACTTGACTACTACGCTTGTCAAACTGACAGGCCGGTAGTTCGCGGGTAGAGCGCTGTCACCGCCCTTAATAATTGGACAGATGATCACCTCCTTCCATTCCGAAGGTAGGCTGCAGTTGTCCAGCGATATTGAAAATACGCACGCAAGCGGACCACTCAGCTCAGTGGCCAGTTCATGCAACAGCTTCGGATGAATTGAATCAGGACCGGAAGCTTTAGAGGGATTAATGCCTTGCAGTAGCTCGAAGACCTGAGTCTCCGTTATGCTAAATTCAGCTAAGCAAGAATCCTCTGGAACGCTTGAAACCAATTCAACCTGTGGTAAAGAGGCCTCTCGAGCAAAGACCGGGGTATACTGATCACTCAGTATACAAGCATTGTCATAGGCAGCTTGCGCACGGGTCCCGTCTGCTAGCAATAAAGGCGGTATAGACAGTTTTGCCCCTCTGCTTCTTTTAGCGTAAGCAAAAAACTTCTTGGGATTAGCTGCAGCCGAGTCCGCTAAACCCTGCTCGTATTGGAGACGAGCATGCTGAGATGTTGCTTACAATTGTTTCTATTCTCTCGATAACTATCAAAGGTACTGGCTGATGGAGCTGCTTGGTAGGTTCGCCAGCATCTAGACCGTTTCTTGAGTAGGTACTTTTCTGTGGTATCTATCCATGGAGGCTGTGCCCTTAACCCTCTTTTCGTAATGAGTGTAATATAGGGAGCGGAAACCTCCGTAAGGTATGCCTTAAATTTTTCCCAGGCTAACTGGACAGAGTCAGCCATCGAGATCTCACAGTTCAGAACTGAAGCCTTAGTTCGCATTGCACTAAAGTCCGCCCGCCAAATGTTCGGAAGTAATTCAACCGCGGTCTGTTGGTGTCTTGAACGTGCACATCGAAAGGATATGCATGCGTGATCGCTGGACCCTAGAGGTGCACCGCATGAAACGTCAGTCACGAAGTCCAGGGACTTAGCGAAAACCAAATCCAAAGTAGATGGTATTTGGTTGTCCATATACCTAGTGGGAAAGTCAACGAACTGGTGCAAAGGCACTTGGAGAGTCAGTTCAAGGAAGTCTGCACCGTATGTTCCTAAATGCCGAATTGCAAGAAAGTTCGGCCCAACAGACTTCTGGGAGGTTGAAATCCCCTAGAACTAAACACTTATTCGCAGACTGAGTGCGAATAAAGTCAAGTATCCCCCTGGAGGAACTTCCAGGACTTCTGTATATCACTATAACTGTAAACTGAGTAGAGGAAGTGCACAAAACAGCCGATAGGGCTTCAATAGTCTGCTCCGACGACTGGAATGTGCAAGTCCTCAACACATCTGTTACAGCTCACATACAGTACAACGCCTCCGCCTTGGCGACCAACGGAGCGATCAGTTCTAAGCAGCGCGTAGCCAGGTAAATATACCTCACCGTCCGTGATATCCGGAGACAACCACGTTTCAGTGAAAGCAAGTATGTCGGGGCGAGATTTGTCTACAAGTAGACCCAACTCGTGCACCTTGTTCCTTAAGCTTCGCACGTTGCTAAGTACTACTTTAAGGAAGTCGGCACGACCATCCCTGGGTCGTGCGCCATCAGGATGGGTTCTGATAGGGCGGAAAGTAACTTCCGGCTGACCACCTGAAAACCCACCAGACGGAGGCCTTGCTCACCAGCCGCCCGTCTAGTTTTGAGGTCTTTGATAGCCTCCTTTAACTTCAACCTATCTGCTAGTGGTAGGTCCGGCTGAACGCTGACACCACTACCCTTAAGTTTGAATGCAAATCGCAGTAACGATTTGCGTTCCTCCGGGGTAGAAAGGACTACGCGAAGTAGTCGGGGTCGTGGATTTGGCTTAGCGATAGGAACGTTTCCCAATCTGGTCAGGTTCCTGACAGTGACACCAGGGAAACCAGGTGAAAGCAGCTTGCTGACACACAGTTTCAGCCACTTGATGTCATCCAAGATGCGTTCCCTTAGGAGAACGGCCTCAGATTCAGTAACGTTACGGAATATAACGCTACTATCCGTGAAAAAGTCGGCACGACGGGGAGTGTTTACCCCACGTGCCTTGGAGTCGACACCTATACCAGCTGTTTTCACCACTGGCGGTGGGACTGTCCCTGGCTTCCCAACTGACGCCGAAGCAACGGTAGCGTAGGTTTTCCGCTCTATTGTCGGCTTCTTGCTGGTTCCTGGGTCTTCAAGCCCCTTCGAAGTTTTACGAGCAGAACTTGTCCGCTTCTTCTTTTGGCTCACCGGAGCAGAGGCCGTTGATTTTGTATAGCATCGAGCAGTTACCAGCATTTCGTCAGAACAGGCTGGTTCACTGGAGGCCGAGACAGTCAGCGTCTGTGGAAAGTGCTGTGTGCAATCGTCAGACGACTTTGTGACTGTCAAAACGGCATCTCTTTCGAGGCGGTGGCAACTGTTTCTCTGGGTTTAGCAGAGGGCTTTTGGTATTTCCGCACCCTATTTTTCTTCACTTTGATCGGATCATGAGGACCACCAGCAATGCTACCTGGATTGGCCGGTAGGATGTGCGACTTTATGCCCGAGTGACAGACTCCAGTGGATGGATCGTCAGCAATGTTGCCGGCTATTGCTGTGTCTTCAAAGGAAATATTTAGGGATTTTAAAAACAAATCCATTTTCTTATCGAGTGACGCAATAGAGGCGAGTTTAACTATCGCCAACTCAACATCTGCCAAACTTGAAGCCAACGCTGAAAGTTTGGCACCGGTGACAGCCGGGTGCGTTGATCTTTTAGCGCAGCATTCAGCGCAGCTGAAAAGAAAGTGGACGCTTGATGATAGCATTTTGTACTGGTCAGCTTGTAGGCCGGTACAGCTTTCGTGATACCAGCGGCAGCAGACGTCACACTGCATACCACCAGATGCATCTGTTACTGGCACTGAACAGTTTACCTGTCCGCAAGCTGCAGTAGACCCATCAAACGAGGACCCCATAGGTCCATCAGTCTCGGTGTTTAGCGAGACAACCATGTTCATGTGGAAAACAGATTAGAATTATAACACGTATACGATAGGAAAACGACCGCAATAAAAAGGCAAAAACAGGGTGCAAAACGGGATTAAAACTGGGAACTACCGGAA